CCTTGGATGCAGACCCTCAGGAGAACTGAAAGTTTTTTGTATACAGCCTCGGATGACATTTAAAAAGATCTTTATTTTTTAAATGATGAACCAGGATGCTCCTCCCTCCCACACTACCTGCTTTGACTCTCTTCCACATTCTGTGGTGAAAAAAGAAGAAATGGATTTAAATCTATTCCCCTTCCTGGGAAGGGAGGGCAGGGATTGATGATTTGGGGTCTTATTCAGGTAAGCAGGTTAGATGATTTCTGTTAAGATTGGTGAACCGTCGGTTTGACCTTTGACTTCCAGACACTAATTTTAGCCCTTTGAAGCTGGCTTACGTAGGGATTTGATCATTACAGAGTGGGAGGAGAGGGCGTGGCCTTGGGGTGATTTCCTTTCCCTGATTTGGGAAATTGCGGTCCAATTTTCTCACCCCCGCCTCTAAGGTAGGAGAGGCCTGTGGGTGAGACTCAGCAACTGAGCAACTGTGTACTTGTGAGTCTGGCAGCAGAGCTGGGGAGAACAGCTGCAGAGAACGTTTGGCTTTGCTGGTATTTTTGTCTGCATATGTGAGTTACTTCAGAAGCGCGCTTTGTTGAGTCCTCATAAGGAAGGACTGGTGCTAGGTTTTGCAAGCTTTTCTACACGCTACCCTCCTTGCCCCAGGGCTCAAAGAACGGTGGTTTTTGACTACATTCCTGTGTCAGGGTTTGGGCACCACCACATAACTCTTAAAACTTTTCACTTGTTCTGTGATTTGGGGTTTTGGGGGGGTTTTCCCCCCTCTCGAATCTGTTCATTGATTCCACTCAGCATTAGGAAGATAGGAACAAATAACCCAAGTGTCTTACTAGCTGCTGAAGTGAGATCTTCCATCTCTCAGACACCGTGATACCTGCTTGGCAAACTACATATGTTCCTTGAGATCTAGCATCTTATTGTGGAGATTCTATGTTGAAGAGCTCCTTTGGGAGCAGAGGAAGGTCACCTGAAAGATCTCCTAGTCTTAATGCTCAGAGCTTATGCTGATGGTCTGACAGTGATAAAAAGGGAGCCCACTAAATAGCACATTTTTTTTTTTTAAATCTAGGGCACCAACAGCCACACAGGTGTCAGATTGAATGCCAAATCTCCAGAGACAGCTGTGAGGGTACACGTCAAGAGTTCATGCCCAAGTCCCTGTGTTAGAAGGGCTGCATCAAAATCTGTTCCAATGTTTTAGGTTTTTCTTTTTTCCCATTTCTAATTAGGAAAATTTACGTCACTCTGGGAGGTTTGGGATGGAGGAGGAGAAACATGAGAGAAAGGTTTTCTTATATCCTGAAATTGGAGTGAATGGGATAGTGGTGTCCAGCTTATGTAGATTGTGAGTTGTGTACCACATTGTTGGGTTATCTCCATTTAACTTGCAAGTATATTGGTATTCTCCATGACAAACTGTGGCCTAGGATTTGGCCTTGCTATTAGCTGCCCCCACACACACACCATCACCACCAAAAAAAAAAAAAAAAAAAAAAACCCTACCACTGTACCCCTTTTCCTTCATGATACTATGAATGATACTTTCTGGCACAGATCCCCCACTTCATTTTTTTCCCATGCCCAGACTTCTGGTTTATTGAGTGGCCCCAGAATTCGGCCCAGCTTGCTCCCAAGTAGCACCAGGACTGTCAAGAGTTTGGGGAGCATTCAACCTGCTTAAGTAGAAACAAAATGTTAACTCCTCTTCCTTCAACTGTTGCCCTTCTCTGTTCAAATACCTGGGACTTAGAATTCTCAAACCACTGGTCCTGGTCACACTTAGTGCAATGCAAGCAACCAGCTGTTCATAGGAATGATGGATTTTAACATGCTCAGAAGTGCTTGCAGAAGACAGTCCCCCAAGGCCAACATAGGGTATCTATTATTAAGATACACTCCCCCCTCCTCGCGTCTCAATGCCATTAATCACTTGTTAGGAGCAACATGACACATGATGTCCAGCATCCCCAATTTACATATTTGTCTGCTCCCTCTCCTCTGAGCCTTGTTGCCTAGGCCTCAGAAAATACTACTTCAATTGAATAAAAAGTAAGGATATCTCAGTTTCTGTAAAGCACGTTTGCTCAGGTTATTCACTTGAAAGCCTAATACTAACATCCTCTGATAGCTTGTCCCTTGCACTAGACACACTTTAACCACAAGAGCCTCAATAAAATTAAATCCTGCTGCCCCTGCCCCCATCAATGCTAATGTTGCTTCCTCTTTGAACAAAAAATATGTTGTAGTATCCCTGAGTTTAAATTCACTGGTTATCTGTATCTGCCTGAATAGTAAAATCATGGAAGTCAGCAGTTTCCTTAGCATGGGACAACTAACCAGTCTGTGTGACTTTTTGTCTTCAGCACTTACTAGAAAATCTGATCTTAAAACATTTGAATTCTAAACATGTAAAATGTGACAGCCTACACTTTTGTAGGCAATAAAGTCATGGCTGCTATTTGTAAATGGAATTTCTATCAAAATAAGTAACTGTTTATAAAATTCAGTTTTTGTAGGATTTTTTTCAAGGAAAAGTCACCTTGGTTGAATGTTTCTCATTAAACTTTACAGAAATGGTTCATACTCAGTACTGTTTTTAATCACTTTTTTAATATAAGGACAGAATATTTGCAAGGAAGCCAAAGTTTGCTAATAATTTTTATAAGCCTAAAATAAATTTGAAGGAATCTGTAGTCATATCAAGTTGAAGGAGGGAAAAAAATAATTTAAAGAATTTTGGCAATGTGTTGACCCAAAAAAAAGTTGTTTTCTAAATAGTCTGTTGTAATTTCTATGAGCCTGTGTATCTTTCAGCACTGATAACTTTGCCATTTACAGAGAGTAAGTTGTGAAAGTGAGATCAAGTATTTACTAGCAATCTGATCAATTTAAGTTTGAAGATAAACCTCAGTCCTCAGTTGAGAATAAACCTGTGTGTTGGCTAGTGGCTGCTCTGTGTCTGTGAACTTAACTGCTACTTCTTTAGTTCTATTCAGTAGGGTTTAGCCACTGTTTCTATTGCTTCCTTAGAAAAGAGGTAATAGCCAATCAGTTTCTGTTTGTATTTCCATTTCTTTTTATTTCTGTTTTTGTGTAAGCTGGTGATTGACTAGTCAGACTAACTCTACTTTCAAAGCCTTGAGAGTTTAATTGACCCCCTTCGTAAATGCAAAATGTTTTATTAATCACTCTCATATGCTGGACTAATTACCTTGGGTGTGTTGATAGCTGCAGGAATTGTTTTAGACAATACTAAAGGTGAGAATTTATATCTTAGTTTTATTTTCAGTCTTGCTAAATTCTTTGCATCTACTTTTTTATTAAAGAGAAATTCGGCAATAGCTAATATTAGGATAGGTGATAAAAAGAAATAAAACATCCCTCTGCAGTGAGTTAAGTACAAGATGACCCTAAAAATATATTCTGATGAATATCCCCATTATCAATGTAGAAACAATAAATTACTAATTTGTAAACATGGCATGATTCTTGATAGGTGTTATGGAAATTGATTATTTTAAAGAATCCATTCACTTCTGCAATTATCCTCTAGGGTAGAGATTCTTTCAGTTGACCCAAAACTCATTTTTATATCAATTAAGTAAAAAAGTCCATCTCTGCTCTGGTAAGCTGCCCAGTGTAAGGCTGACAAATAAACTACATGATGCTTGGTTCAATCTGAATTTCATAGAAACAACTAACTTGGGGCAGCCCTGGTGGCGCAGCGGTTTAGTGCCGCCTGCAGCCCAGGGCTTGATCTTGGAGACCCTGGATCGAGTCCCACGTCAGGCTCTCTGTATGATGCCTGCTTCTCCCTCTGCCTGTGTCTCTGCCTCTCTCTCTCTCTGTCTCTATGAATAAATAAATAAAAATCTTAAAAAAAAAATCTTAAAAAAAAAACTAACTTTTAGCATTAGTATGTCTCAGATACTGCATGAGACATACTGAAAAATTATGTTTTCATATGACCCACACATTTAACTGAATATCCTGTATTAATTTATTTGCCAAATGTTGTAACCCTAGCCCAGCTTTCTCGGATTTTGTGGGGTTTTTTTGTTTTTAAGATTTTACTTATTCATGAGAGACAACAGAGAGGCAGAGACATAGGCGGAGGGAGAAGTAGGCTCCCCACAGGAAGCCTGATGCGGGACTCAATCCCAAAACCCCAGGATCACGACCTGAGCCAAAGGTAGATCCTCAACCACTAGGCCACCCAGGTGTCCCTTTCTCATATTTTTAATGGTGTCTCAAACTTCCTCTATTGGTTTGAAAGCCACTACACAAATAATATGAACTTAGAATTGAATAGGTAAGAATGTAGTTCCTGGGGTTAAACTGCCATGATACAGATCCCAGCTCTACCACTTCCTATGTATATGGTCTTTTTTTTTTTTTTTAAGATTCTATTTATTTATTCATGAGAGACACAGAGAGGCAGGCTCCATGCAGGGAGCTCGATGTGGGACTTGATTCCAGGACCCCAGGATCACGCCCTAGGCCAAAGGCAGGGGCTCCGCTGAGCTACCCAGGTGGCCTCCTATGTATATGGTCTTAAATTATTTAACCTCTCTGAACTTCAGTTTCTTCATCTATAAAATGGGTTGAATAGATTAAATGAAATCCTTTATGTGAGGGGGTTAGCAGTGGGCCTGGCATGTATATTTTCAGTCATTTGGGGAAACAGCCTAGAAAGCACACAGTTATTTAAGTGGGTACCACTAAGTAGAAAGTCAAATGTGATAATAAGATTTCATATTGCACAGCGCAGAGAGGGAAAAGGGAACAATATTGGAAGGCAGCCAATATGTATGGAGAATGCATACATCTACAGAAATATCATATGTACAAATAAGCAGGTGTGGTGGCCCTCTTAAAAGGAATTCCCAGTTCTGGGCTCCGATTTGGGGGGAAAATTTTTTAAGAGGAGGCTAGCAAAACATGTTAAAACCAAAATTTAAAAAGTAAAAAATAAAGCCCATAGGTTGGCCCCATAAAAGGCAGAAGGGGAATTTAATGACTTTACATTTATAAAAGTTGCATAAGAGTTGGCTAGGTCTTCTCAAGCTCCTCTGAGACCAATGAAGAGGAAATTATTTTGAAAAATCGAGTATTTTTCAAAGTTTCACCTAAGATTGGCTAAAATTTGAAATCAGTAGTTGTGTGCAAATAGAAAATAAATCCAGGGATTAGCATGGATAACATTTTCTTCTCTGATAGTCTTCAGAAACTGGGGAGATTCTATGTTGTTTGGGATGGTTTAAATGTCATTCTTTCTATATGAAAGATCAAATGATCTCTAAAGGTCTTCCCCAGGTCTCTGATTCCAGAATCTGTATTCACATTTCAAAAGGCAAATGTGAAAAAAAACAAACAAACCAAAAGCCAAATGTGACAGTATGTTTGCTGAGCGATTGTTGTCATGGCTTCTCTACCTCAATTCATTTAAACTGGGACATGGGCATTATCTCTCTGCTTCTCTTTAGAGCCAAGTAATCAGGCAACTGTAATTTTCTATTTATCTTTTTTTTAATCCCCCAAAAGAATCACAGTAAACTCAGAAGAAAGCAGTTTTTAAATCCATGAATGTTTTTCTCATAATTCATTGCCTCAGATGACAGGTGAATGTTTTAAACGCTTGATGACATTTATGGTGAAAGTATAATTTTTTTATAAAATTCTTTATAAAATCTGTTCTTCTGGGTATTTGGCTTTCTAATCTCTTTCCCTCTATGCCCTTGCAAACTGTTGGAGCAATTTGAAGATAGTACAGGTGATGAAGCGATTGTGGACCTTCATTTTTCAAGGACTAGTAGGAAAGAATGAAGTGTTAAATTAGATGATGTCCCAGAGTGTGGAAGAGAAGATTACTAAAAAACTAAGAAAAAAGTGGAATCCGATTCATTCAAAAGCATAGCTGAGAAGGAAAGACATTGGAAAATGTGAAATGAGACTAGGGTCACCTTGATCTTTTTATCTTTACTTCATTTTCTTAAGGTTATAGAAAAGCATCTTAGGAACAAATCCACCATAAAAAAAAAAGCCTGTCTTACTCATGCTGGTCTCTCCTCGTTACCTTTACAGAGAAACGCCTCTGTGTAGATATGTAGACTGAATAGCAGGGTGGAGGGACTAACATTGATTGAAACTTTGCACTTGCTTTGGGGAAGCACTCTGCTAAGTGTGTTGCACATGCTGTCTTGATTGATCACCACTGCACCTCAGAAGGGAATGACTCAATTTTATAAATGAAAAATTGAGAACTTCAGTAACTTACCCAAGATCACAGTTTAGTGAGGAATCCAAGATTCAGTGTGTGTCAATTCTATGCCACCAGTGCCCAATCTTGGCACCACTATCCTTACTAACTTGAAATTTTAAGTCACTCTTCTGATGCCTTCTTGGGAGCCACACACACTTAGAATATGGGGAATGAAAGGAGGTTGACCTTAGAAGTCAAAGAAGACAACTGACCTATTAAATGAAATCTATTAAATGAAGACCCCTGCTGTTGTCATAATAACGTATCTCTTAGATTTTGGGTACATCTTTTAGATCTGATGAGGTATCTATAGTTTTTAAGATGTTTTCTTAAAAACACAGGGGCACCTGTGTGGCTCAGTCAGTTAAGCATCCAAGTCTTGATTTTGGCTCCGGTCATGCTTGATCTCAGGGTCTTGGGGTGGAGCCTTGCGTCAGGCTCTGTGCTGGGCATGGAGCCTGGTAAAGGTTCTCTCCCTCTGCAACACCCCGCGTGTCCCACTTGCTCAGCTCTCTAAGAAAAAAACGTGAAGTAGCCTGTCAGTTTATACCCGAGTTGAAAGGTGCTGGGCGGCAAGTCAGTGGTGGGAGGAGCAAAGGGAATTAGAGTGACCAGGATCGTGTGAAGAGATGTACAGAGGAAGGACTGGGTGAACATGACATGCTTAAACTGACAGGCTCCAACTCTGCGTGAGCTCCGGGATGAGGCGGCGGGGCCGCAGGCGGCGCTGACCTCTGGAGACGCGGTCGCGAACCGAGGCGGGCTGTAAGCAAGTACCATGAAACGGTCTCCCGGGGCCGGCGGACTCCGCGGGTAGAGCTGGCGACGCCCGACCTCGGCCGTTAAGCTCAAGCCCCACTTGGGTGTGGAGATTACTCAAAAATAAGATCCTTAAAGGAAAAAAAAAAAAGACTCATTAAGTAGACCTTACTTTGGAGATACTGGGTTAAAGGTACCCATTGAAATGTTTTACTTTTCATGCCCCAGTCGGGGATGCCTTCTGTTCCGGCGAGGACCGCGACCTGGACAGCCCTGGACTCCGGGGCCACAGGGATTAATGGCCACACATTTGACCCACGCCGCCCTCCTGAGAAACAAGCGTTCTTTTCTCTCATACCGGTTCCTCCAAGACGCCTATGACACACTGAGAGCCGTGTCTCCCGCCCTAGCAGCTTCGAGTCTCGGTTCACGGCTCTCTGACCGCCGGGGACGACGGGCACACCTGCGGGACGTCTGTAGAGACGAGGACCCCCGAATAGGCCGCGGCCTTTCGGAGGAAGCTCCCGCGGGGGCGGCGGTGGGGGCGGCTCCGGCAGCTGGACGCGGAAGGCGCCCGTCGGGGGACGGCGCGGGGGGCACGGGAACCACGGCAGGCGGGCCTCCACGCCCCAGGCCCCCGGCCCCCGGCCCCCGGCCCCCGGCCCCCGGCGTCCTCCCCAAGATGGCCGCCGCCGCGGGGCGGGGCCTGCCGCCCCCGTCCCGCCCCCGCGTTGCCCACTGTCGATTGGGTGAGCCGACTGGCTGGTGAACGGCGATTGGGCCCCACGAGACGTGAGCGGGGCGGGACCGGAAGGCGGTCTCGGCCTGGGGGTGCGGGGGTCCCCGCGCGGGTCGGTCCCGGGGGATGTGGAGGGCTGGCAGCATGTCGGCGGAGCTGGGAGTCGGGTTCGCACTGCGGGCAGTGAACGAGCGCGTGCAGCAGGCGGTGGCGCGGCGGCCGCGGGTGAGAATGGAGGCGCGGGGACGCTGGGCGGCCGCTTTGAGGAGGGAGGCCCCTGCGTAGGAGTGGGTCGTCACGGTGACGCAGAGCGGGTCTCCCGCTGGGACGGCGGCGCAGGTGGCGGAGCCCCCAGAAGGCCAGCGAGGGGTTTCTGGAGGTTGGCTCGGTTGGAGCTGAAGGTACCCACCACCCGAGGAAGTGGCCGGCCCCCGGCATCGCGACCGTTGCCCGCCCCTCGCGTGGCGGGCTCCGCAGCCTTAGCAGACGGCCGCCGCGCGGCCCTGTGCCCCATCCACCAAGGGACACCCACAGGAGGCCAGGTCCCCCGGGATCACGTGTGGGCAGCGCCTGACAGCTAGCAGATGCTCGCAGCGGAAAGCGGAGGCGGATTGGCCGCGCTCTGGAGACAGCGCTGCACCGGCACGTTTGGCAGTGCTCCCTCGCAGGGGCGAGCTGACATCCCATCCCAAGCGGTTTGCAGGAACGCTTTTCCTCCCCTTATCTCCTCTTGAAATTTCATTAGACCGAGGGCCAGTGTTTACTCCTCTCACTGTAGGTTTAAGCTCAGTGGTGTGGAGCGAGACACAACTGAACAAAAAGGTCAAACTCGGACTGTCAGAACTTAGAATGCTTTCCTGGGGCGGAACACCTTTATTAGTAGAGTCTTTGCTTGGCTACGAACTAGATGTTATCTTGAATTAAGTCACTTAACGACTCTGGCCCTGAGTTGTCTCATCTGCCATAGGCAGTAAAATAAGCTCCGACTGCTTTAAGCTCACTGCTGGCCTTAATGTTCTATGATTCTCAGGGATTCTCCAAGAGAAGCTAGGGATTTCCCTGACAAACATCACTCAGGGAGGTTCTCCCAGCAAAGCTCCTCAGGCAGGTGGGTTGCCTGTTCAGTGTTCTCTGGGAATCATCAATTCATCAACACGGTGGTAGAAATTATGACATGGTCTCATAAAGGCTGGTGATGCATCCCTGAGAAGGAAGAGGAAACGTCTTGCTAATAGCTCTGAGTCCTCAGGGCCTTTGAAAATACAGTGATTCTCATAAAATTAGCCACCACAATCATATAAGAAAAGGGCATTCAGGGTTTCTTCCATGTGGTGTTCAGAGACATGAAGTTATGCCTGTTTTAAGCCTGTTTACTTGTGGGTCTTTCTAAGCAGTAAAGTAATCCACATGAAGGAAGGACCCACTGTGTCTGGTGTCCTTCATTCATGTCTGCGGAATCACCATGAGTGTATCATTGCTGCCCTCTCAAAAAAAATGAGTCTCTGCTTCGTTTTATACACAGGCAATAAGAGAGATCTTTGGAAAAAAAGAAAAGAAAATACAGTGGTCTGTAAAAATAGCAGAGGGTGATGGCATACATGAAAACCGAGCTGCATGAGGATAGGTGGATTTCTTAATGCCTCTGTATAGATTAGGTTGAAGCAGAATGCAGAGAAGCTCTGCTTTTTATGTAATTGTTGTAAACCCCGGGGGGGGTGGGGGGGTCATCATATTGGTCTAATCCTGAGTCCAGAGTTTTTGATGTCCCTGCCTCAGTTCTGCTACTCGTTCTTGATTAGAATGAACAGTAAATTACATAGCTGCCCTACACAGACCACTTTTGAGAGTGGGGGGCAATATTAATCACTATGCCAGGACCAGGATAGGTTTCCAAAACTTAACCTTGGGGTTTTGGAAGCCAGAAGTGGCATCTCCTCTAGTCAGAGAGTAGTGCCTTCCCTTCTTGAAGTGCTTCTTAAACCTCCAACCATGGTATGCAAGAGCATCATCTGGAGAGTTTGTTTAAAAAGCAGATTCTCAGACTCCCAACACCAGATATTCAGATTCAGTAAGTCTGGAGTGGTACCCAGATGATGCTGATGCAGTTGGTCAAAGACCACATTTTAAGGAAGTACTGCTTTTACTTACCTACCTGAGAGAGATTAGACATTAAAGTAGCTAACACACTAAATTTGGATGCTATGCATTTGAAAGGCATCCGATCAACATTATTTGATACTGGTCTCTCTCCAATATTGGAATAATGGAGCTTACCCAATGTCAAGTGAAGACCTGTGCTGATTGAGTCTATGAGATCCATCTTATAGAACTTACTGGAATAATATTCCTAAATGTTCACTCATTTGGCTCTTTCCCTCTTGGCAGGATCTTCCAGCCGTCCAGCCCCGGCTAGTAGCAGTCAGCAAAACCAAACCTGTGGAAATGGTGATTGAAGCCTACTGTCATGGCCAGCGCACTTTTGGGGAGAACTATGTAAGCCTTTTTCCAGTCTGCCTTTGGAAAAGTCATGATGGCCAGACTTCTGATTCCTTCTGTTTTTACCCTTTAGGTTCAAGAACTGCTAGAAAAAGCATCAAATCCTAAAGTAAGTAGATATCTGAATTCTTGAGTTTGTACTTAATCTTAGGCCTTCAGTTGAAAGTCACACCCACTTTGGTCGTTGAGTTTTACAGCAGGGTGAACTGGAGGTAGAAATGTCCACATTCACCTTGAGCTCCAAATATTGCACAGCTAGATTTTCTTTCTCTATTAAAACTAAGACGGGCAGTTCCCGGTGGCCCAGTGATTTAGCACCGCCTTTAGCCCGGGGTGCGATCCTAGAGACCTGGGATCGAGTCCCACATCGGGCTCCCTGCATAGAGCCTGCTTCTCCTTCTGCCTGTGTTCGTCTCTGCGCCTCTCTCTCTCTCTCTCCTCTCTCTGTCATGAATAAATAAAATTTTAAAAATCTTAAAAAAAAAAAAAACTAAGACTGTAGTTTTCTCCTTTACAGCTTTTTGGATGTGGTGATTTAGGAGCTTGCTGTAATCCTGGATCCTTTTGAGATTTGAACACTTTAATCAGTTCATCCTTTTTTTTTTTTTCTTTTAAAGTAGGCTCCACACCCAGTGTGTGGCTTGAACTCACCACCCTGAAATCGAGAGTCATGTGCTTTACCAGTTGAGCCAGCTAGATGCCCCATAATCAGTTCATCTTTAATGGATGATATCTAAAAGATGGAGAGAAGTGATGGGAACAAGGAAGAGAAACAGAGTAGAAGCCATAGGTTTTTCTCACTTAAGAGCCTGGCTAAAGATGGTGGTAGTGGTTTCTGCATAGACATGAACAGTCAGAAGGGTGTGTGTAAGGTATTTGAGCCAGCAAGGCCTTCATAAATTCTAAGTCAAACATGGTTACCTTTTTCTCTTCAGATTCTGTCTTCGTGTCCTGAGATCAAATGGCACTTCATTGGCCACCTACAGAAACAAAATGTCAACAAATTGATGGGTAAGATAAATTTCTAAATATGAAGACAAAATCTCTTTATCATTATATTACTTATACTACTCTCTATGGAAAAGAGAACAGGTTTTAGAATAGTCCTAATTCACCTTTTGTGTTCTGGAGTTTTGGGGGAAAATAAATTTTAATTCTTAGTATAAAGTAAAAGCCTCATACCAACAACAGAATGAATTCACCATTGACTGGGTTGTTTATACTTGGAAACCTACCCTACTTGAAGATGCTAGATATCATATGGTAGTCTTTCAAATGAATTATAAGGAATTGTAGCTCATAAGATTTTTCAGTTGGCCAGGGAGACATTTTTGTCCTTTTCCCTTTAAATGTAAAGTGCCTGGGTGGCTCAGTTGGTTAAGCATCTGCCTTCAACTCAGGTCATGATCTAAGGTCCTGGGATCGAGCCCCATGTTGGGCTCCCTGTTCAGTAGGGAGTCTGCTTCTCCCTCTCCCTCTGCTACTCCCCTTGCTTGTACTCTTTCTCATAAATAAATAAATAAATAAATAGTTTTTTAAAAAATGAATAAATGTAAGGCTATAGTAAATAAAATATACAATAAAACAAATACAGTACATAATAATAAAATACAATATACAGTGAAATATAATACAGCAAAGTAAAATTAAATATTAACTACAGAAAGACTTAACTGTATGACAATGGCATGCGGAGGTCTGTTTGAGGAACCAAATACTTATTACTCTCAACGTGCAAAATTAAAATAACCTGGTGGTTTATAGGCAGCTTTTTTTTTTTTTTATGATAGTCACACAGAGAGAGAGAGAGAGGCAGAGACACAGGCAGAGGGAGAAGCAGGCTCCATGCACCGGGAGCCCAACATGGGATTCGATCCGGGGTCTCCAGGATCGTGCCCTGGGCCAAAGGCAGGCGCTAAACTGCTGCGCCACCCAGGGATCCCCTATAGGCAGCTTTTTTGAAGTATAATTGACCTAACGTAAATTATATATACTTGAAGTGCACAATTTGATTAGTTTCAACATATGGTTGTACTTGTGAAACCATCACAGCAAAGTAGTAACATTCATCACCCCCAAAAGTTTCCTTATACTCTTTGTAACCCCTCCTTCCTGCTTCCCCTCCGCCACCCCCATCCCTCCTTCAGCACTACTTAACTTGCTTTCTATCACTGTAGATTAGTTTACCTTGTGGGGCACCTGAGTGGCTCTGTCAGTTGAGCATCTGCCTTCAGCTCAAGTCATGATACCAGGATCCTGGGATCGAGCCTCATATCGGGTTCCCTGCTTAGCAGGGAGTCTGCTTCTGCCTCTCCTCATGTCTCCCCTGCCTCTCCCCCTGCTCCTGCTCTCTCGCTCTCTCAAATAAATAAATAAAATCTTTTTTAAATAGGGGGGAAAAAAAGATTAGTTTACCTTAAGAGTTTTATATAAATGGAATCATAAAATATGTACTTTTATCTGTCTGACTTCTTCCACTCAGCATAATTATTTTAAGGTTCATAATACTGATTTATGTATCAGTAGTTCATTCCTTTTTGTTTACTCACCTGTTGATGGACATTTGAGTTGCTTCTAATTTGGGTCTATGACAAAATTGTTATGGAGGTAAGGGGGAAAAATTGTCATGAACATCTTTATATGGACTTTTTCTTTTAAGATTTTTATTAATTTATTAATTTGAGAGAGAGCATGCATGCTGGGGTGGGAGAAGCCAGGAGAACAGAGGGAGAGGGACAAGCAGACTCCACTTTGATCTTGGAGCCTGGTGCAAGGCTTGATCTCACGACTGTGAGATCATGACCTGAGCTAGCCGACTGAGACATCCAGGCACTTCTGGACTTTTTCTTACCTCTTGGAATAAATACCTAGGAGTAGGATGGTTGAGTCACATGATAAATATATGTTTAACATTTTTTATAATTCTGATAAAATATACATAACACAAAGTTTAGCATCTTAACTATTTTTAAGTATACAGTTCAGTGGCATCAAGTACATTCACATTGTTTGCAACCATCACTACTATATCTTCTAGAACTCTTCCTCTCTCAGAACTGAAGCCCTATACCCATCATGTATGTTTAACTTTTGAAGAAACTGCCAGGCTGTCATCTAAAGTGGTTGTGCCATTGTACATTCCCACCAGCAGTGTTCAAGTTTCTCCACATCCTTGTCCACACTTAACATGGTCAATCTTTTAATTTTAGCCATTCTAGTAGGTATGTGCTGCTGTCCTTGCATTTCCCTAATGACTAATGATGTGGAACATCTTTTCACGTGTTTGCATCTGTTCACCTTCTTCAGTAAAGCCTCTATCAAAGTCTTTTGCCCGTTTTCTAATTGGATTTTTTTACCTTTCAGAGAGAATTCTTTATATATTCTGGATACTAGTTCTTTATCAGATACATGCTTTGCAATTTCTGCCACTCTATTGCTTATCTTTTCATTTTCTTAACAGTGTCTTTTGAAGAGCAGAAGTTTTTAATTTGATGCAGTCCAATTTATCAATTTAGATTTTCATAGACTATGCTTTCTATGTTGTGTCTAAAACATATTTCCCTATGGTTCAAGTGACACAGATTTTTCTCCTAGCAATTTTTTATAGTGTTTGGTCTTATATTAGGCATATATTATTCACTCTGAGTTAATTTTTGTATATGGTTCAAGGTATGATTCTAAGTTGTTTTTGTTCTTTAATATCTCATTGTTCCAATACTACTTGTTGGACAGTCTATCCTTTCTCCATTGCATTCCACTGTACCTTTATCAAAAATCAGTTATCCATGGGTTTATTTCAAGACTATTTACTTGATCCACTGTTCTGTTTATCTTTTATACTAGTAGCATGCTATTTTGATTACTTTATAATAATTCTTAAAAATCAGTAGTGTTGGGGCAGCCCGGGTGGCTCAGCGGTTTAGTGCTGCCTTTAGCCCAGGGCGTAGTCCTGGAGACCCGGGATCGAGTCCTGCATCGGGCTCCTTGCGTGGAGCCTGCTTCTCCTTCTGCCTGTGTCTCTGCCTCTCTCTCTGTGTGTGTGTCTCTCATGAATAAATAAATTAAATCTTAAAAAAAAAAAAATCAGTAGTGTTAGTCCCCAACTTTGTTCTTCTTTTTCAAAGTCCTTTTGGCTATTCTAGATCCTCTGCATTTCCATATAAACCAATTTATCAGTTTCTACCAAAACAAAACAAAAGTCCTGCTAGGTATTTGATTAGAATTATATTGAAACTGTAGATCAATTTGGAGAACATTGGCATAGTAAAAATACTAAATCTCCCAACGCATTAATAAGGTATAGTTTAGTATTTATTTAGGTCTTCTTTAATTTCTCACAGTAATATTTTGTAGTTTTCATTGTGCAGGATTTCCTCATCTTTTGTCTGATTTATATCTAACTTTTTCTTATGTTGATGCTATCTGCTGATACTATTATTGAGCTGTTACTTCAATTTCTGATTGTTACTAATATATAATAGTTGATTTTTGTATGTTTTTTGTATATTTTGTATATTCATCTATCCTGCAACTTTATTAAACTCATGCTAGGGATCCCTGGGTGGCGCAGCGGTTTGGCGCCTGCCTTTGGCCCAGGGCGTGATCCTGGAGACCCTGGATCAAATCCCACGTCGGGCTCCCGGTGCATGGAGCCTGCTTCTCCCTCTGCCTCTCTCTCCCTATGTGACTATCATAAATAAAAATTAAAAAAAAATAAAATAAAATAAACTCATGCTAGTTTATTCTAGTAGTTTCTTGTTAGTTTTTTAAGTTCTACTTATTCCAGTAGTTTAGAGGGTTTTTTTTTTTTTGCAGATTTCATATAATTTTCTACATAGACAATTATGTTACCTGTGAACAATTCACTTCTTCCTTTCCAATCTGGATGCCTTTTATTTCTTTTTCTTTTTCTTGCCTTATTATACTAGCTAATACCTCCAATACAATATTGAATAGAATTGCTAAGAGTGTGCATGCATGTTTTTCTTGGTGTCCTTTATCAGAAGGAGGAATTTCCCTTCTGTACTAGTTTGCTGAGGATCAACCGAGTTTGATAAATCAAGAATCAGTGTTAGATTTTGTCAAATGCTTTTGCTGTATACATTAAAATAATCCTACAGTTTTTCTTTTTCAGTTTATTAACATGTTGAATTACATTTATTGAGTTTCAAATGTTAAACCTTGCCAAACTCATTTGGTCAGGCAGTAGTATCCTTTTACTATAATGTTGCATTTGATTTGTCAAGTTTTGCTTAGAATGTTTGCATCTACATTCATAAGGGACATTGGTCTTTCACTTTCTTGTGAAAGTAATATCTTTTTTTTAGGTTTCATAACAGTATAATGCTGGCCTCATAGAATGAACTGGAAAGTATTCCCAACTCTTCAGCCTTTTGAAAGAATTTATGTGGAATTGGTATTCTCTTCCTTAACTGCATGGTAGAATTTACCACTGAGGCCTGGAATTGCTTTGTAGGAAGGTTTTTAACTATAATTTAAATTTTATTGATAGATTATTTACATAATGTGTTTTTTCTTGGATGAGCTTTGTTACTTTATGTTTTGCAGGAGTTTGCCCAATTCATCTAAAGCAATGAATTTATGAGCCTTCAGTTGTTTGTAATATCCCTTTCTTATCCTTTTAATATCTGTAGAATCTGTAGTGATGTCAACTCATTCCTGATGTTGGTAATTTGCTTCTTCTCTTTTTTCCCTAATCCATCTGGCTGAAGGTTTATCAATTTTATCAGTCTTTTCAAAGAACTAGTTTTAGTTTCACTAATTGTTCTCTCTTGTTTTATTAGTATAATATGTTTTATAAACAAAAATAATAATGTATTATAGGGTTTATAGCATATGAAAAAGTAAAATGCATTGAAACAATGGCATACAAAATGGAAAGTAAGAAACAGAAGTATGCTATTATAAGGTTCTTAAGCTACATATGAAGAAGAATGACACCATTTTAAGTAGACTGTGTATGAGTTCAGCTTTAAAGCAACCAATAAAAT